GGAAGCTATGACATTGGTTTTCACTTTCTACTCTGTTGCAGATAGAGTGTCTCATTGTTCACTGAGGTGTATGCCAGGTTAGCAGCCTGCAAGATTCCGGTGATTCTCCTGTCTCTGTCTCCCATCTCTCCATGGAGCATGCACTTACAGGTGTCCACAACGGCACACAACTTTATGTGAATTCTGGATGTTTAACTTAGGTCCTTATCCTTGCACAGCAAGTGCTTCACCTACTGAACTATCCCCCGGCCTCATCTTCTCATACATGCAGATAGACTCATGATCAATAATGAGATGGAGACTAAAAGAACATAATGGATTAATGACACAGAAAGTTTGTTCTTTGAAAATACAAACAGGCTTGACAAATCCTTAGACATATTACCAAAAGAAAACAAAACATGCAGAAGAACAATTCTGAGGAATGGTTGTAATTCAATAAAATTAAGGATGAAAGAGTAATGTAAAAGGCATACTTTTTTTTTTTTTTTTTTTATTAATATTTTTTTATTTTCCATTTTAAATTTAGATAAGAAACAAGGTTGCTTCACAAGTCAGTACGAGGTCCCTCTCCCTTTCCCTCCCCTCCTCCCGTGCCCTCCCCCCATCCCCCCCCCGTTATCCCCTCATTCCCCCAGGGAGGGTGAGGCCCTCCATGGGGGTGTCCATAGTCTGTCATTTCATATAGGGCAGGGCCTAGACCCTTCCCCAAGAGTTCAGGGTGAGAGTGCACCTCACATTGTTCTATGGGAGTCCAGAGACCGTGTGTATACTTGGGATGGGTACTGATCTGCTGTCCAAGGCTCAATAGATTACCTAGGCCTCCTCACTGACACCCAGATTCAGGGGGTCTTGATCAGTCCCATGCTGGATTCCCAGGCTGATGCCTGGGATTCAAGTGTTAACCTTTGTCTGGTCAGCTGTTTCTGGGGGTTCAACCAGCCCAGTCTTAATCCCTTTGATCATCAGTCCTCCCTCTCTGATACTGGCTTTCTTGAGTTCAGCTCAGTACTTAACCAGCCAGTAAATGAAGTTTCTGTTTCCCAGACTCTCTGGCAATAGGATTGTAGGCTGGCACTCCCCAGATCTATGTCTAAAATCCATATATGAGAGAGTACATGCCATGTTTCTCTTTTTGTGACTGGGTTACCTCACTCAGGATGGTTTCTTCTAGTGTCATCCATTTGCCTGCGAATCTCATGATTCCATTATTTTTTTCTGCTGAATAGTACTCCATTGTGTAGATGTACCACATTTTCTCTATCCATTCTTCGGGTGAGGGACATCTAGGTTGCTTCCAAGTTCTGGCTATTACAAATAAAGCTGCTATGAACATAGTGGAACAGACATCTTTGTTATATGAATGGGCATCTTTTGGATATATGCCTAAGAGTGCAGTTGCTGGGTCTTGTGGTAGGTTTATTCCCATTTTTCTGAGGAATCTCCATACTGCTTTCCAAAGTGGCTGAACCAGTTGGCACTCCCACCAGCAATGGAGGAGTGTCCCCCTTTCACCACATCCTCTCCAGCATAAATTGTCATTGGTGTTTTTGATTTTAGCCATTCTGACAGGAGTGAGATGGTATCTCAGAGTTGCTTTGATTTGCATTTCCCGGATGGCTAAGGATGTTGAGCACTTTCTCAAGTGCCTCTCAGCCATTTTAGACTCCTCTATTGAAAACTCTCTATTTAGTTCTGCAGCCCACTTCTTAATTGGGTCCTTTGCTGTTTTGGAGACTTGCTTCTTGAGTTCTTTGTAAATTTTGGAGATCAACCCTCTGTCAGATGTGGGATTAGTGAATATTTTTTCCCATTCTGTGGGCTGCCTTTTTGTCTTGCTGACTGTGTCCTTTGCCTTACAGAAGCTTCTCAGTTTCAGTAGGTCCCATTTATTAATTGTTGAGCTCACTGTCTGTGCTACTGGTGTTATGTTCAGGAAGCTGTCTCCTGTACCAATTCTTTCAAGGGTACCACCCACTTTCTCTTCTAAGAGGTTCAGTGTGGCTGGATTTATGTTGAGGTCTTTGATCCATTTGGACTTAAGTTTTGTGCATGGTGATAAACATGGATCGATCCGCATTTTTCTACATGCCAGTCTCCAATTATGCCAGCACCATTTGTTGAAGATGCTTTCTTTATTCCATTGTATATTTTTAGCTTCTTTGTCGAAGATCAGATGTTCGTACGTGTGTGGGTTAATACCCGGATTTTCAATTCGATTCCATTGGTCTGAAAGGCATACTTTTTTAAAAAGATTTATTTATTTATTACATATACAGTGTTCTGGCTACATACCAGAAGAGGGCACCAGATTGAATTGTAGATGGTTGTGAGCCACCATGTGGTTGCTGGGAATTGAACTCAGGACCTCTGGAAGAGCAGTCAGTGCTCTTAACCTCTGAGCCATCTCTCCAGCCCCAAAAGGCATACTTTTAAAATCAAGTGATATATGGGAATATTACAATTTTAAATACTACCAATTGGAAAATATAAAAGAATTGTGTACACATCTGTATACACATCCCCTTCCAAAACTGACCTGAGAATTTATAACAAGCTGACTAGGCCATTACAAGTGATAATATAGAAGCAATGAGGAAGTTCCAACAGCAGAAAGTCTGGGTCCATTGCTCAAAATTCATCAATAGCTACAAAGAGCTAAAACCAATAATCCACACATTTTCCCAAGACATAGAGAAGGCATGCTTCCAACCAATCTCAGGACAGAGCACACAGAGCAAGATCTCTCCCACAGTTGGCATAGCCTCTTCCTCCCTACCACAACCATGGCCTCTGTTCTTGGACACTGGTCGTTTCTGCTCCTCCACCTACAACCTCCATCATTTTCTTACCAAGAGGGCAATAGGCAGAGTGACACATTGTCTGCATATGAAATACCAAATGGGAACAGAGCTAAGTAAATTTTCTACAAGAAAATGCCTTCTTTTCAATCTGGATACTAACTACTCTGTTTTCTGACAGAACTTGTATTTGTGCTGTACTTATTCATCAATGATTATGTCCTCTCCTTGAGGGATGACCCCCAACTCTAAACTGAGCATATTTTAATCTCTCTATCAGTGAAGGAAGTTATTATTTTATGTGTGTCTGTATTTATCTTTTCTATTTTGATTCATAGGGTTTCTTGGATGTTGTTCTTTTGAGTGTTAAACTTGGTAAAGCCCTCTTGCCCTCTGGAGCACTTCTTTCTGTTGTTTACATTTCTTCTTAGGATGAATTAATTGATTTTATTTTAATGGTAAGGACACATTAACTGATATCCCATGACTTGTTGGTTTCACTTGATTAGGTTAGTAGGCACCAAGTAGGGCTATATGAAGATACTGTTCATCAAACATTAGCAAGAAGCTGTTACATACTTGACACATACAGGCTGTACATATGTATAATGGAGTCTTCATGAGAATCTGCTACTTAGATGCACCATGTTTCAAAAAAGACAAGTCATTTAAATAATGAACAAAAATGATTTTGTGATATCTGAGACATTTTTCTGATGAGTCCCCACTAGCAATTGATAACTTTTATAAACAATGGACCTCTATTGATATTTTATTTTTCTGTGGATATTTCCTTATTTTTCTGAACAATTTCATCCAACTTCAATAGCATATTCACTATAGACACTAAGGTAATACAACTTCTTTTAAATAGAAAAATCACCCAGTTTGATTTTGTGTCTGCAGTGGGATCATGAAGCCTGGCCTCAATGCCCTCATGGGACCTCAGTATGGGAGCAGATCTTTGTGAGTATAACAGAAAGCATGTGCAAACTCTTTGCATCCAGTTTCCATGCTGTAAAACCAATTATTTAGGAGTTGTCTAAGTACAGTGTGAGTGTATATGTGTGACTCTGTCCCGTATGCTGTGAATAATGTGCAGGATGGTGTATTCTCATTTTCTACCACCAACAGAAAGTCTTACTAGGTCACTTTCCTGATGGGAAATGATAGAATGACTGGCATTTGTTGTTGGGTCATTTATTATTTAATATGGGAAGATAGTATTAAAATCATAAAGATAAAGGAGAAATTTCTGGGGACAAGAAAGCATGACCAGGCCTAATTCTCAAAATACAGAAGGATATTACCTGTTTTAGTCCCCAAGGTCAGATAGCAGGGAGGGGCGGTCATGTGGATTATTTCTTGCATTCATAATTCTGGGCTGTATTAGAGCGCATACTGAAAGGAAAGGTGTGTGTGTGTGTGTGTGTGTGTGTGTGATTTCAAGTAAACTTTTGACATGAATAATTTTTATTCTGAGTGGCTGAAGGGTAACAGCTGTTACTGAAGGGCGAAAGTAAACTATACAACATATATAACCCTTTGCAGGCTGTTAGATGTTTTAGCTGCAAGGAAAGATCCACGTGGATTATCAGGAGATATTTTGATAAATGGAAAACCGCGACCTGCTAATTTCAAATGCACTTCTGGTTATGTCCCACAAGTAAGTGTTGGTGGATTTGTGATTTTAGATTTCCTCTGCCTCTGTATGGTTAAATGCTCAGCTTGTGGATTTGTGTGTTTCCAGTTCATTATATGACACATTTGTAGGCCCAACTTTCTCTACACCAGCTTTTCCTAATGACTCATTAGCCTGAGGCTGGCATTATTAAATAGAAAGAACGGGAGGAATTGGGTATGACATCTATGGTATAGTATTAGTAATTGCTCCTGTGATTTAGTTCTACAAAGCACTATTGTTGTTCAACCTTGCCCTTCCTCCATCTTTCTCCACTGCTTAGAAGATGTTTTCTGAAAATAATTGCAGGTAGCATCACCAAAATCCCTGAGCTCTACATGGAAGGCAAATGGGAAGGGAATCAAAGTGATTTCATCAGGCTCTCTACTTGAAATTACTAAGATTGAAAGACTATTTTTAAGTAAAACAGTACATTGGGTGTACTTTATATGTGACTAGAGTGATGGTGTTACTGATAACTTTTTGCAATTAAAATTCCACTTAACTTTAAGAATGACACAGTGATGCGCACAGTGACTGTGAGAGAGAATGTAGAGTTCTCAGCAGCTCTTCGACTTCCACTGTCTATAACAAGAGATGAAAAAACGAAACGAATTAATGAGGTCCTTGAACTTCTGCATCTGAATGAGGAGTCAAATGTCAAGGTAATGTGAAGAAAAATCTCAAAACACTCAGAAACAAAAGAGGGAGACAGAGACAGAAAGACATCCCTGTGTGGATGTCTGAGTGACTGGTCACATGTTATAAAGTGGAAATTTAGCTGGGAAGCCACCTTAGCAATGGTAAAGCCTGGGAATGGAGTGTGATCCAGCAGGAAAAAAATGTTCCTCACATGACCATTTCCTTGTGTTCCTCACATGGCCATTTTCCTGTGTTCTCACATGAGCCCATTATTCCTTCAGCCTTAAACTCTTGAGTCTTTAGAGAACTTGACAAGTGCTTTCTTCTGTTTATTGTCCCATTCCCTACAACACTTGCTCCTTCGTTGTTTCAGACTGTATTTCTGGACTGACGTAGGATGCGAGATGGAGGACTATGGCTCTGTTTCACTCTGCATTCATTTCATTTTAGGGTTGTACTTGGCCTCTTTAGCATTTGCTTTTACTTGTTTGGTACCTACTATTTCCTGTAGTCTTTCTGTGTTTTTATCCTATCCTGTCTGTGCTGGCTAGTTTTAACTGTCAAGTTGACACAGTCTAGAACCACATGGAATCAGCTAGAAGAGTCTCTATGATGAATTGTAGTCAGGTTGCCTTGTGGGCATCTCTGTGTGTGATTGTCTTGATTAAGTTAAGCCACAAGGAAAGACCCAGCCTATCATAGACCATTCTTTGTATTTGGGTCCTGGGTGGCATGAGGATGGAGAAATTGAGCTGAGCACTGTCAGGCATGCATGCATTTATCCTCTCTGTGCTCTTGACTGGATGCAGCCAGCTCCATCAGCTCCCTGCCTTGAATTCCCTGTAATGGAGGACTGTACTTTTGAATAGTGCAGAAATAAAACCTTTATTTCATATTTATTTTTTGTAAGATCATTTTATCTTAGCAAGTAGATGGAAACCTAGGATATCCTTTTGTCCTCACTCTCTGTTTCCTTATCCTTTGTCAATATTTATTCCCAGACTCTGTGTAAGGTATTATAGATACAATCTTGGGCAAGTGTAATGGACCAAGTAATACCTTCTGTTGAGACTTTTACAGGATCGGAAAAGGTAATAGATAAGTGGTGAATTCCACAGCTGACCATTTTAATAGCTAAGTAGTTTCTTAGTGACACATTTAAAAAGAATATTGTATAGTATTTCATTCCTGAATACTTATTTTTTTTGTTCATGAAAAACAAGGACATTTGCTTATCTTAGTAATTCCATTTTTAACTATCAAGATGAACAAATCCTTGATATTCTCAGCCCTGCCAAGGTAATAACCATTCAGAGTCCCCAAATATTCTTTTTTTTTTTTTTTGGTTTTTACGAGACAGGGTTTCTCTGTATTGTTTTGGAGGCTTTCAGTCCAGCCTGGCCTCGAACTCACAGAGATCTGCCTGCCTCTGCCTCCCGAGTGCTGGGATTAAAGATGTGCGCCACCACCGCCCGGCAAATATTCTTATTATTACATTGTATATGGAACCTGATAGGTACTGTATTTGTTATATGATTAGAGATTATAGTATCAAGATTGCGTCCGTCTTCTTGTGTCCTCTGAACTTCCCGACATGTCACTTGACACAAACCTACTGAGAAGATTATAAATAGATGTCTGCTGAGTCGGCAAGTGGGGGTATGGATGAAAATGGTCTCACCAGACTAGGATTCTCATGAATTAACTTCTGTGCTGGCTCCTCCATAGAGGTAGTAGGGAATAAGAAGATACTGGCTCTTGACTGCCACGATACTTCTCCACAGTCATTTATGTTATGTTTGTCTTGTTGGTAAGAAAATAGAAAAGCTGAGTAAAGAAATTTTTTGTGCTTTGGTTCTCCTTATTTGTGTGCTTTTATATTTACAACAATATACTTTCTTTTCTGTATTTTTAACAATTAGTCATTGCCCTAAGTTGCATACTTGTTCTTTTAGGGACAACATATGAAGATATTTATTAACTTCTTAAAAGTCAGGAAATGTAATAGATTGCAAGATTTTAATATGATTTTTATTAATTATTATTTTTATTTATTTTACATCCCAATTATAGCTTTCCATCTCCCTTCCTCTCATCCCCTCTCCCCCTTCCTCTGTTCCAAAAAGGGCAAACATCACATGGTTGTCAACAAAGGATAACATATCAAGTTGAGATAGGACTAAGTTCCTCTTGTACAAGGCTGAGCAAGGCAATCTAGCATTAGAAACATGTTCCCCAAAGCCTGTCAAAGCAGTATAGACAGGTCCAGCTCTCACTACCAGGAGTCTCACAAGTAGACCAAGCCACACAACTATCAAACATATGCAGAGGATCTTGGCTGATCCCATGCAGGCTCCCTAGCCATTGATCTATAATCTGTGAGCTCCCATGAGCAGGCCAGTTGCTTCTGTGGGTTCCCTTGTGATGACCCTGACCCCTGTGGCTCATATAATCCTTCCCCCTTTCTTCAATAGGAGAGGATTCCCCAGGTTTGTCCCAGTGCTTGGCTGTAGATATTGTCATCTGTTTCCATCAGTTGCTGAATGAAGGTTCTTCTATTCCAAGGTGTAGTCACCAATCTGATTATAAGAGATGGCCAGTTCATGCTATCATTCCACTATTACTAGAAGTCTTAACTGGGGTCATCCTTGTAGATTCATGGGCATTTCCCTTGCATCAGGTTTCTACCAAATCCAGAAATGCCCTAAAATATGTGTGTGCATGAGTGTGTGTGTGCGTGTGCGCATGTGCCCTGGCTTAAATGTCATAGCACAATCATGGAGGTCATAGGACACCTTTGTCAAGGGTCTATTTTCTCTTCCCACCATTTTTAAGGCAAGGTCTGTCCTGTTCTGTTTCCTATGCATGCCTGATGCTCCTGATCCACCTCCTATCTCACTGTGGTCATATCTTGATGGAATACAGATTCCTGCCACTGCATATAGATATTATATGCAAGTTCTGGGGATTGAACTCAGGATTCAGGCTTGTGTAGGAAGTGTGTTTCCTTGTGAAGATTTCTCCAGCCTTTCATAAGATTTTCATTTAAGAAATGTAGAGGAGATATGTGGTTACTGTAAAAGTTTGACTGTTATGTTGCCAGCACAATAGTACACTTGCTAATAACAGCCTTCTGAGCTTCTGAGTGTTCACAATAGCAACTCACAAAATCTGTTTCTCACTGCGGCATTTTAAAAGAACATTAAGTAGTGTCTTACTACTGAGACTTAATTGCTTTTCATCCATTAAAAAATTAAAGACGTCTGCTTATCTATAAACCCTACTCTTAACTAACAAAATGAATGATTCCTTTCTATCATCTGCCTTGTCCTGACCACACTCATCCACAGTCCCCAAACATACTTTGTTGTGTGCTATCATTAGGGCTTGATCATTGTTTGCTTATCATGTTTGGAGAGAATTGTTCACTGTTCTGTGTCCCCTAAACCTTGCTATTCCCTCTCACCTTACACAATTATATTGACTGCTACAAAGACTGTGTGAACCTGTAGACTATATCAGCTTTGGATTCATGATAAGTCATGAATTCTGTGATGCTATACAGTGTAAATAATATCAAATTGCAATGTTGAAGTTAAAAAATTCCCAATAAGGATATTGCAGCATTGTTGGTGGCCCTATAAGGACACACCTTATGGGAAAGGAACAAGAATGTACAGAGTCAACAACACAGACTCTGGGAATCAGGGGAGTGACAGAAGCAGACTCATTTATTGAAGAAATTGGATCTGCCTGTATACCCACTCCTGGTGTCCCATTGGCCCTTATAGGCCTTTGGAGATGAGTTGTCGTTTCCCCAATGGCTCCACCAGACATGTGCCTCTACATCAAACGTCTCTCAGCACAGTGTCAGATTCCAGGTTGGCACCAAGGGGAAGTTATTATTGCACATGTTCATGGGGGCCCCAGTGGCGATGGCCGAGTGAGGGAGACTGGCTACTTTCCTCCTACATAAGACAATGTGAATTTTTCATAAAAAGCAGTATGTACATGTGTTTGTGTTGTGTATGTTTTGTATAGTGTGTGTATTTTCGTGTGTGTGTGTGTGTGTGTGTGTGTGTGTGTGTTGGGAGGGTGTTAAATGACCAGTAATTTACTAGAGAAACTTCCTCTTCTCTTGTCCCATCTTCCTCATTCCTTAGACACAGATTCTACTCTGTCAGTCTGGGAGTTTGATAATTCATTGCCCTCAAATGTGTGATTCAATAAAGAACAAACACTAACTGTCATTAGCATGGGCTTCATCAACTCTGACCTGAGCCTCTTTCTACTCCCTTGGAAAAGAGGAACGTCCTTCTCCTTCTCCCAGGTCTCCACACTCTGCTCCTCAGGATATTAATATAACAAAACCTTTTATTGCTGGAAGCAGCTAGTTCACCAAATGACATTGACTGTGGTTGTCCTTGTTGATAATGGTGGTTGTTGGTGCTTTAGCCTAGCTCTAAGGAGCTCATGAAGAGGACCAGTATAGCAATGGAGCTGGTCACCGAGCATCCCATTTTGTTCCTGGATGACCCCACCACTGACTTAGACTTGAGAACTATTACTGATGTCTTCTGGGTCCTGAAAAGGTAAGTGCCGAAGGAACATTAGTTTTATTTACTCAATACCTGTGCATTTTGGCACAGGAGATTCAGAAGTAAGCAACAGAATTTCTTCCTTGTTTTAGAGGGAAACTTCCAATAACAAGGAATACACAGAGAGAACAATGAGATAAAAGCGTAAGGAAAGATGGCTGTGATGAAGGTGGAACACTACTTTAAATAGCATGTCCCCATGACACTCAGTCACGTGACAAGTGAGCTGGGGGTGAGAGCTGAACAGAGTGCTGGATGGAGGAAAACTCATTTGCTCTCAGGATAAGCGTGTTTGATGTGTCTGGAACATTAGAGATACAGGGTGGACTGGAACACAGTGACCTTAGGGGAAGGAAAGTTGCTAGTGTATTGCCAAAGTCACCACAGATTGTGTGACTTGATAGAAGTTAAATTTCTTACAGTTCTGGATCGGGAATCCAGACATTAAGGTATCCACAGGCTGTGTCTGCTGCGCCCTGGGTCACTGATTGTGGATGGTGTCCTCTCCCTCTTCATGTGTCTGATAGCCCTGATCTCTTAAATGGACACCAATTACATTAGGCCATACTAGTAATCTCATTCTAACTTTCCTTTTTAAAGACTATGTTGCCATTACAGCCACATTCTAAGTTCTTAGTTGTCTTTGGAAGGACACAATTCAGCCCTCCACATTCACAATTGGAGTGAGCAGGGTTGGGTGGGTTGGGTGTAGATTGACTAGACCACCTGAATCACTGTAAGGACTAAGGTTTTCCATGGTAGCAATGTGGGAAGGTTTCTGTGTTTAGATCAGATCAGTGCCTCATGGAGAAGGTTGCACCATGGGACGTGAAGATGTCAGCAGGAGCCTGAGGTGTGGGGGTTCCTATGCTAGGAAATGGTAGGTTCTGGGTAGCTTTGAATATGGAATAAAAAGGATTATCTATGGGATTATCCCTGGGTGTGATGGCTGAGGAATGATTCCTAAGGTCTGAGTCCTGAACCTAGGGAAGGATGAAGGAAAAGAAATGTCATTTCTTTCTCACAGGAAAGAAGTCTGTGACTAAAGCGGTGATAGAAAAAGTTTAAGGATTAGGTTTTTTCTTTATTTTAAAATATAATAAGAGTTCCAAACTGAGAACCCATTCCCATGACCTATGCTCCTGGTGTTCGAATTTACTGTGCTCTCTGTCTTTCCTTCCTTCTCCCTCTTCTTCTTCTTTTTGTTTTTGTTCTAACATCATGGTGCATTGCCCTAAACCCTCCTGCCTATACCTCCATAGTCAAGATGTTTCGATCATTGTACCTTCCCAGTGAGGAAGTCAACAACGGGAGCCTTGCCACATTCCAATCTGTAGACTCCTCAGGAGTCACCACTTTCCCTGTCTGTCCCCTTTCCTGTCTGCTTCAGGATACTCTAAGATCAAGTTCTTGCTCATTTTCCAGTATGGAACACTTCTCTCCATCATGTGTATCTCATGCCATGGCTAGTCTTAGTGGCATTGCATAGGGTCATCCCAGTGTTCTGGGAGCAGAGTCGGGTTCCTTTATTCTGCCCTTGTCTTTGACAACTAGTTGTTCTGTTGGAATTCAAGGTGTGCACTACCATGTCCAACTTTCTTCCTCTATATTTTCCTTTTCCTTCTTCTTCCCCTTCCTTCCTTGTGCCCATCCTTCCTCCAACATTCCTTCCTTCCTTTCTTCTTTACTTCTGTCTGTCCTTCCCTCCTTCCTCTATCTTTTCTTCCTCATTCTTTCCTCCATTCTTTATTCCCTCCCTCCCCCACTCTTTCATTCATACTTTCTGTTTGTCTTTTTGATACAGGGTCTCATGTAACCTACATGGGCCTTGAACTCCTGATTCTCCCAAGTGCTGAGATATTACAGATATGCCAACATATGCATCTTTAATGAAAGTATTTTCACAGTAGTTTTAAGCAGTTTTTGGTTATTGGTTATCATAACAGAAAGTATGACATCCTGAAATGGTAGTTCAGATTATTTTTTCCTATCATGGAATTAAACCAATGATCAAACCCCAGGCTTGCCCCTCACTAACTGTGACCCTTTGGACTTTTGCTTGACATTTTAAGCCTTATCAACAGAAAGGGAAATTATATTATAACTACCTTGTGCTGATATTGTTTGAAATGGGTTATTACTGAAGTGTTTAGCGTGGAGAGCAAGGTTAGGAATGTGAATCACATTGTCAGAAAAGTGAAAACCAATTCCTGATGAGGCAGAAAGTAAATGATTAGAGGGAATTGTGCAAACAATAATAGTTGTAATATTTGCTCTATCATTGGTTCTCAAGCTTGAGTGAACCTGTCCATCAACTGAGCTGCCTGTTCATGATATGGACTCCTTGTACTGACTCCCAGATATTCCCACTCAGTGTCTGGAAGACTGCCAGGGATTTTCATTGTCAGTAACACTTGAGGAGGATTCTATACTACTGACATTCCACATGCTAGGAGTCCTAATCTTAAGCTTTAGCTTGGTTTCCTATCAGGTGCATAATGCAAGCGAGATATGGTGTTTTTAAGGAAAATTCAAGCTGAAATGGGAACAAAGAGTATAACTTAGGGAATAACACATTTTGTTGAAAATTTCAAGGTTCCTCTGTGCAGTAACTTACAGTTTTTCCCTCTTTAAATTTAGGATGTCTATTAGGGGACGGACAATCATCTTCTCCATTAATCAGTTCCCATACTCCATCTTCAGATTTTTTGATAGCCTCACCTTAGTGGCCTCAGGAAAACTCATGTTTCACGGCCCTGCACGGGAGGCTTTGGAGTACTTCACATCCGCAGGTATGGCTGACTTTTATTGTGAGAGCTCCTTCATTCACAGCATCTGGGAGAACAGGAGTTCTCGGGAATGCAGCTTGACTCTGATGAAGTGTGTGTGTGTGTTTCTACATTTTAGATACCTTTGGTGAATGTAGTGACAGGATTCTGTTAGCTGTGAGGCGCGAGCTTGTTGTTCAGGTCTCTCTTCTTTCTCCTGTCCTGTGTCACCTGTGTCACAGTGTTTTACTGAGTCACTTGTTCTGTGTCCTGGTCAGGTGACCCTCTTGATTAACATGCCGGCACCAGGCACAGTTATCCCTCATGGAACAGCTTTGGAAAGGCCCAGTGTCATCATGTTCTTGCTCACGTAGCAGATGGTGGTTTTCAGTTTTCCCTTAGCATGATCCGACTGAGGAGATGGAGATATCACTTCACTTAGTAGTAACTCTGCATTTCAGGTTTAGGCAATATTGGAGGCTATAGAAGCTCAAGTCTGGATTTTGTGACTTATGTTGTCAGCTTACCTGGATTGTTCAGAGTCAGATTGGATGATGAAATATTTTTAATGGTTCATGCCATCAGTTTTATTTCCACAAAATATGGATATATTTATGGGTGAATCTCTTGACTCTAAATATAGGGTTAAATATTTGCTGTCCATGACTCATTGTTTTTGATTAATATTTTCAATTAAAAATATGTGAACATTTGTGAGTCTATGGAGTCCAGTAAAAATTTAGACTGGGTTCAAATGATTGTTTCATTGGAAGAACTATATCTATGTGTGTTATAAGTCTATGACCATATCTATGTCTATGCCTATGACTAGTCTATATCTATGTCTATGTGTAGGCTACATCTATGTTCATGACTAGGCTATGCATATGTCTAGTCTAGGTCTATTCTAGTCTGCTCTATGTCCAATCTGGTCTAGGTCCATGTACAGTGTATGTTAATGGCCATATCTATGTCTAGTCTATTCCTGTATCTACTCTCTATATATGTCTAGTGGTCATTGTCTATATTTAGTCTATGTTTACCTGTAGTCTATATCTATATCTAAATTATGCCTATGTCTAGTTTATATCTATGTCTATGTCTGTGTCTATGTCTGTGTCTACTCTGGCTGTGTCTATGTATTGTATGTATATATGTATACCACCAAAATAAACATGCACATATATACAGTAGGTGGAAAACAGAGAGTGCTGAAATAGTATCAGTGTATATATAATAGAAAAGATAAATTAGTGGAGGAGGAACAAGAGGAGGAAGAAATTCTTAGATTCTGTTTCCCCTTCTATTTCCCAGTCTCTGAAAGAGGGTCCTCAGGTTTGTGCTCATGACCTGCCTTCTTTGTAGGTTACAACTATGATTCTCTCAACAACCCTGCAGACTTCTTCCTGGACATCATTAGTGGAGGTTCCTCTGCTATATTAGATACAGAGGAAGATTGCCATGAAGGTATGTGAGACTTCTAGAGTCATAGATTTTTGTCTGACTGATTTAATTAAAACACAACCATAGGTCTTATTAGATTATACATTTTATGTTAATTAACTATCCTAAATAGACATGGTTTTGTCAGTTTAGTGTTAGGTGTTTTTTATTTAATTTGTGAAAGAACATTTATATGATATTGTCACAAGGAAAATTTCTATTTAAAAGCAAGTGTACCTGTTGTTTGTTATATTATTCTTTTTTTATAAATAATTCTTCTTTTAAATTTCATTCTGCATACAACCATGGTTCTCTTATATGTCTTTTCAACATTTGAAATTCTTCTGTGAGAACTCTCCGTTCAACATTGTATGCCATTTTTCAATTGGGTTATTTTGTATTTTGATGTTTAATTCATTGAATTTTTAAAATATATATATTTTGGAGATCAGCTTTCTGTTAGATGTGGGATTGTTGAAGATTTTTTCCCATTTTGTCTTGTTGACTGTGTTCTTTGCCTTACAGAAGTTTCTCAGTTTCAGAAGGTCCCATTTATTGATTGTTGCTCTCAGTGTCAGTGCTACTGGTTTTAAAATCATGAATTAGTCTCCAGTGCCAATGTGTTCAAGGGTACTTCCCACTTTCTCTTCTTCCAAGTTCATTGTAGCTGGATTTATGTTGAAGTCCTTGATCCACTTGGACTTGCGTTTTGTGCATGGTGATAGAGATGGATATATTTGCAGTCTTCTGCATATTGGTATACAGTTATGCCAGCACCATTTTTTAAAGATGTTTTCCTTTTTCCATTGTACCATTTGACTTCTTTGTCAAAAATCAAGTGTTCATAGGGGTGGTGTGTATTAATAATGTCAAGGTCTTGGATTAAATTCTATTGATGCACCTGTCTATTTTCATGTCAATACCAAATTGTTTTTATTACTATAGCTCTATAGTAGAGTTTGAAGTCAGGGATGGTGATGCCTCTGAAGCAGCCAACATCAAATTAAATGGAGAGAAACTCAAAGTGATTCTACTAAAATCTGGAACAAGACAAGGCTATCCACTCTTTCCATATCTATTCAATATAGTACTCTTAGTTCTACCTAGAACAATAATACAACAAAAGGAGTTCAACAGGATAGAAATTGGAAAGGAAGAAGTCAAACTATCACTATTTGCAGATGATATGATAGTATACAAAAGGTACCCATGAAGAGTCTACCTGGAAACTCCTACAGCTGATAAACACCTTCAGTAATGTGGTGGGATACAAGATTAACACAAAAACTCAGTAGCCCTCATATATAAATGATAAATGGGCTGAAAAAGAAATCAGAGAAACATCATCCTTTATAATAGCCACAAATATAAACTATTTTGGGGTAACTAACCAAAGAAGTGAAAGACCTGTATGACAAGAACTTTAGGCCCCTAAAGAAAGAAATTGAGGAAGATATCAGAAAATGGAGTTTCCACGCTCTTGGTTAGGTAGGATCAACATAATAAAATGGCAATCTTATCCAAAGCAATCTACAGATTCAATGTAATCCCCATCAATATCCCAACACGATTCTTCACAGACCTTGAAAGAACAGTATTCAACTTCATATGGAGAAACAAACAAACAAAAAACCCCAGAATAGATAAAAACAATCCTGTACAATAAGGAAACTTTTGGAGGTGTCACCATCCATGACTTGAAGCTCTACTATAGAGCTATAGTAACCCTGTTTTAAAGTTAACACATTCATTTTTTTTCCTGGCAAATAAACTCTGGTTTGAATCTAAAAAGAAAAAAAGAAAAAAGAAAAACAGCTTGGTATTGGCATATTTTTTGCTCCTGCTTTAGATATGGTTTCTCATGTAGCCAGAATAGACTTGAATGTGGGCTCTTTCTACCTCACTTCCCAAGTGTAGATATTATAGGACTATGTCACCATGCCTGGCTTTGTTTATAACATTTAAAAAACAAGATACTTGATAGTTTATACATTTGCATATGCATTTGTGTGACATTTGCATATACATTCACATGTGGCAGAAAGCAAGGATCAGACTTTTATGGTAAGTTCAGGTCCATAAGGGAAGGAAGACTTTGTTAAGAATTTGTGTCCAGATGGAAAGAGGCCATTTGTTTTGCTGTATCCATGGGATAATGACAGTAGTCATGTCAATAGTGATGCTTTTCTCAAAATGTGGTGGTCTGAAGATGTAGCTCGACTGGTAGAATGCTTGTTTAACATGCACAAAGCCTTGATTTTCATTCCTAGAACCACATGACTGGGTGTGAAGGAGCATGCCTGTAATCACAGCACTTGACACAGAAACAGGACCTGAAGAAGTTTAAGGTCACCCTTGGCTTCATAGCAACTTTAAGACCAGTCTAGGGTACATGAGACTGTCTCAGAGAAAACTGATACATAATTTATGTGTTTTTCATGAAAACTGTCTCAGAAAAATCAGTTAAATTATTTTCTGTTTCTTGTCTTTATCAACTTGCTGACAATCATAAAGAACTTTCTAAGAGACAGCACCAAGTCACAGAACAATTAGCCAATATGTATACCCAGTCCTCCTTATACAAAGAAATGAGAACTGAACTGGATCCACTCTTGGGGGAACAGAAGGCCAGGAGGAGCTCAGCCTTGGAGGAGATTACGTGTGTCACCCCATTCTGGCATCAGCTCTGGTGGATTATCTGTCGTTCATTCAAAAACTTCCAGGGTTTTTCATGGGTCACTGTGATTCAGGTAATCTGTTGAGTTATTTTAATTGTATTGTGCAAAACTCCAGTGGGAGCAATTTGACTCTGAGTGAGTCTACTTCAGAGTCACACTCATCTTCTACTCCCTTCCACGTGTTTGTCCTCTCCTCTCTACTTGGTGTATAGAAATGTTCAATGAAGCAAGCAGAACCCAATTTACTTTTTGCTTTCAGAAAATGTTTTTAATGATAGATTTTATTTAGAGGAACTATAATGACTAATCCCGGTTGGAAACTTAATTCAGAGAGTGCAAACGATAACTCAGCACACCTGGGAGTTCCTCACATCTGTCTACTTTAATTCACCTGTGCATCCTACAATTTCAAGTCCAGGGCTAAGTAAAGGAGGAAAGAGCTTTTTGCCTGATGTAATTTTTCCTGTGGGTGAATGGATGGTAATTGGATAAATAGATGGAATTGTAGTGTGTCAGATGGGAGAATGGACTTGGGGAAAGTTAAAGGAGAGAAGGGTTGAGGATGCCTGGAAAGGGGAAGGAGGGTTGATCTGTAGTTAAAATCGTGAGGTGAGGAAACAGGGCCATTGAACAGTTCTGAGGGAGACTGTATATCTATTGCCTGAGAGATGAGTCTTCTGAGGGATGCTCTTCCATTATTGGAGTCTACTCAAAGAGTGCAGTTCACACACAAAAAGTAACTGGACTGAACAATGCTCTCCCCTGTCAGCTAACTGGGAATTAGTTGGAGATGAAGTTCTACATCTCTTTAAACTGGCTCTGTAACAAGGATCATCATGTCTGTTATTTTAACTGAATGACACAGAAATGAAATTCTTCCAGCTCACTGGGCCATCACTTACTCGTTTATTTTTATTCATGATGTCGATGATTCTACTGTGTTAGTGATTGATCCCGGGGCCTTGGCCACTAGAGAGCAAACACTCTACCCTGGACCTACATCCCTGGCCGTGCCCAATCAGAGTTTGTAGTCAGTTCTGCTGCTAGTGTGTTGTTATTTTATTCTCAGGCATTTAGTTTCTGTTGCATACTGAAAGGTCGTGTGTTGTTGGCTGTAGTGGAACACTGTTCTACATATTAGTTCATATTTAAATATTGCTGCCTTCCCTGAGTGTATGTGAATATTCTTTCCATTTTAGTTATACTGTCTGTTGCTCTGAATACTTTGATCCTTAATCTTGGACATCTGTGTCATAAAAGGGGTATTTTTATGTCTGATTTCTTTGATAGCCAAAGACTATTGATGTGGAAATAGGTGAGTTTCACTCATCAAAATGAGTTCCTCATTTTGTTCAACAGTGAGGAGTATCATGAGGGAAAAAGTGTGTGTGTTAGCAATGCTAGGAATTGTGGAATATTTATTTATTTATTTGTATGTTGGTGTTTTGCCTGCATGTATAACTTCCTATCATATGCATACCCGTGGAGGCCAGAAGAAGGCATTAGATCCTCTGGATTTGAAGTTACAGGAGATTGTTAGGGGCCATTTGGGTGCTAGGAACTGAATCCCAGGTCCTCTGCAAAACAACAAGTGTTCCTAACTGCTGAACCATATCTCTAAGCCCCATGATTTTGGTTTCTAAATTATCAAGTTAAATGGTAGGATGCTTTCTCTTTGATAATAATATTCTAAACATTATCAGAGGAACAATAGAATCTTTCAAATAAGTTACTACATCATGTAGCCTTATACCTCTGGTAAGTGAAGCACCTTTTAAAGCCATTTTAACCCCAAACCAAAGCAGTGCAGACTTGGTGTAACTGTTTACACAGATTGAGTCAATGGAGGTAGACGAGGGCCTGGAGGAGTTGGCAGCTTAGATGAGACTTGAATACAGGCTGCTCTAGCTGAGGTTGATGGAGCAGAAGTGACAGATGATGGGCAATGGGAGCATCGAGCCACCCAGAGGACACTGTATGAATACTTTGGTGGCAGCAATACAGCAATAATTTTCCTTCCTACACAGGCACAGATTTCCAGAAGTGACACTGATGAGGACCAACTGACCCCTTCTTAGCACACAAACTCCCATTGCTGGGAACTCTGGTGCAAGTCAATTTTAATTTCCTTATTTGGTTTGCAGTTGAGGGGATCAGAATCTCCTGTATATTGTGCAGGACCCTGCCCCTGAGCTGTCCCCAGGCCTGGGCTGTACTTGTTTATAACTATAAGAGTAAAGAGAGCCTGAATTCTTTTCTGCCATTTGAAGTAGAAAGCTGCCCATGCTCACTGGCACCAGAGTTGAGATCTCAGTTTAGGTGAACACTTTTTGTCACTTACTTTTCTGTGTCCCCTAACCTCCCAGGTGTCTGCATTCTCTAGTACCCTGTGCCAACTGAGTTTCAGTAACTGACCTGAGTCCTTCATTGGCCCTTCCTGGTAGAACACTGGGAGAAGTCTTATCTTTCCAGGGTCTGTCCTGTCAGAGTCTCAGATTTCAGAGACCTTAATTTTCAGTTTAACATCCAAGCCGTCTTTTGACATGTATGTTTCATATTCTCCTAGGGATTCTGCCCAAAATGTAGTGTTTGTCTAACTGGAGGGATATGATTAGGAAACCATATATCTGAAAATAATAGACAATGTGTAAAATGATTTCTACTCCTAATGGAAATTTTTTCCCTGTATTTTTTGAAAGGCAATTATTGAAGTCATAATGGCTGTGATTGTGGGTACTACTTTCCATTACCTACAAGATGACTGTACTGAAGTCCAGAGGAGGTATGCAAATGAGGAAATGCTGTTACTTTGTTCAAACTTATGTAAATCCATTAAGAATTAGAATTTGTGAGAAGAACAGAGTAACCGCTTTACCATGTGATAGAATGTGTTGGTACATTGAAAGCTGAGTAGAGGAACTCTCTTTTTCACATATGTTTGTGTGTAGATAGTATGAATCTATACACACTACATATTTCACATTTTCCCAGTTTTAGTGTATGGAGCAGCTTCTGTTATGTGACCATCACCACACTCTAAATGTAGGGCATTTCTTCATCTTCCCGAATGGAATCCCATAGATCTGAAAGAAGAATCCACATATTACCCTTTCCTGATTCCAGGCATCAACCATTCTGCCTTCTATCATTGAATATGACTAATGTGGGAACCCTGAATTGGAGTCACACAAGTATCTGTGATTTGGTTTTGTTCTTGTTTTTTTAGTTGGCTTGTTTCCATTGGTGTAATGTCCTCAGGATCCATTAAAGTGTGTCATGTGTGGAGATTTCTTGGTCTCTGTAAGGCAGAATAATGGTCCACTGTGTGTATTTGCTGTGTTGCTTCCCATTCACTGTGGTTGGACATGTGGTTGGCTCTCATGTTTGGCTGCTGTGAATCATACTGTTTAGTGTACAAGTACATCTGTTTGAGCCCTGAACTTTACTCTTTATGGTAGAAAGATAGAGTTGAGAAATCATAGGCCACTATGTTAATTTGAGGAACTGCTGTCCTGTCTCCAACTCCACTGTGATATTTGTATCCTCACCAGCAGGACAAAGGGGCTCCAGTATGTCCGCATCCTCACCCAACTTATGTTCTTTTTTGTTTGCAATAAGATGTCTAAGAAAAATAATTTGTGATCCACTGAATATTTTATGAAGTGTCTGCAAAACCCATTTTTCAGTTTTAACTATTGAACATTTTTTCAATCCAAAAATAATTATTTATTCATTCATTTAGTACGTATATGTGTGTGGGCATGTGTGTCCTACAGCATGAGCATGGAGGTCAGAGGACAATTCACAACAGCTGATCCCTCTACCACATGTGTTTCAGGAATTGTTCTCAATATCATCAAGCTTGGTGGCAGTCATCTTACTTGCTGAGCCAGCTCTTAATTTTCTATAGCCCTTAATTTTCCCTGCTGTTGAGTTAGAGTTACTTTTGTTTCTGAGATGTGAATCCCCTACCAGACACATGGCCCACAGACATTCTTCTTTTCTGTATGTTGCCTTTTTATTCTGCTTATAATGCCCTGGTACAGAAATGTTTTTAGTTTACCTATTTATTCTTTTTTTGTTGCTTGGGTATCAATTTTCTTGAATTTATTAGGATTGTTTGAATGTTAGTGTGGGGTAATAGGATAGGATTCAGTTTTTCCTGAATTGTCATATAGATGTCACTGTTTTGGTCCTTGTCTACTTTGAGCTATAATGTAACTTTAAAGATATGCATTCATGTTAAAACATTGTAATGGCTATAGCATGTTCCAAACATAATTTCTCATCAGGATCACAATTTTCAGAGTTTTCACAGTGATTCATGTGTAGTACACCACTGTTTGCTCAACTGGGCTCCCTGATTGACACCCACAGCCTCAGGGTACCTCCCATGGGCAGAGGCCTGATCATGCAAGTACTGTTGACATGGTATCTGTGTGTGTGTGGGTTGCTTGTGCACCCACACACCCACATGTGTGCCTGTGTGTAGTATTGTGTGTTATATATACAGGTTTGTGACAAGTTCATGTTCATGTGTGTGTGTAAACATGAGCATGTTGGTGAGCATACATGGTCTGCATGTGGAGGTCAGAGATTGATGCCAGGTTTTCCTTGGCGACCACTTTCTTTTTCAAGGCAGGTCCCTCACTGAATATGGAGCTCATTTACTTGGCTAGGCTGACTGACCAATGAGCTCCAAGGGTCCACCTCTGTACCCTTCATCACCAGAGTTACATATGTGAAATACTGTGCCTGGGTACTTTTATATGGGCTCCAGGCATCTGATCTCAGGTTCTCATAGCTGCATCGTAGACACTTTGCTGAATGGGACAGCTCCACCACCACACAAATCTGTTTGATGTGTGGAAAACACAGTAATTTTGAAGGAAAGAGTAAATATAAAAATCAGGTCTTCTATGTATTTCTTTCAGTGAGGAGTATATTTAGTGGAATGACTATTACAGCTATTTTAGACTGTAACATATTAGTGTTCTACCTTAAATGTGTGGATATCGGTTGTTAATCTATGATTATAATATCTAAAACATCAAACCAGGGAGTAAATGTGGTATATGTTTAAGTATTGCCTGAGTCACGAAATTCCGTTTCTAAGTTCTTGGTTTTCTTGATGAAAACATATGAAAATAAGCACAAATGGAACTTGAGGGCAAGATATTAGAGACAGGGAGAGGGAGAATTCCCTGAGTACTAGGGAATGGGTGTATGTGGGAATTTTGGAAGAGTGGAGAGACAGAAAGTTGTATATTTAATAAAGTTAAATAGATGAGCCTTGACAGCAAGACTGGCTCATTAGGAGAGGAGGAGAAATCCAGGTCCTCTGCTCTAGGGACCATAGGGGGCCCATGTCCTCTATTCTCTATTGGAACCTTTGGGCAGAGCCAAAGTTGGGACATAACAGGCTCAGAACTTGTCATGTAGTCCAGGTTGACCACAGTCTGCAGCAGTCATCATGACTCTGTCTCCCAAGTTCTAGGAGTTTGTAGGTATTACTTCCTGCTCTTCTCAGAGTCTTATGCATTCTTAGGCTGTCTTTTCCTATTCCATCCTTTTTGTTTGGTTGAGTATAAAATGTAATTTTTCTTTGATGTAGGAGCAAACTACTCTCTAATAAGGTCTCCCCTCATCTGATCTGATATTTAATTACCACTGTGTACCTAGATAAAGAGAGTAACTGACCCCTGACTGTCAGTTGAAAAGGTGTTATGTAGCAAGCAGGTTGTTAGGCCTCAGTCATGCAGCCTGTCTTAGAGGAATCTGACCTGTAAGTCCAGGAAACTGATAACTGCAAAGGGTATTTTGTTCATCCTCCACCTTTTTACCATCCCCTATCACACAGACACAAATTATTTCTTCATAAATATGCATGAATGAATTCATTTTGAGCTCTTGGAAAATCATGCAGGAAGTTGTTGGCCTATTCTAGGGATAATCAAGGCTTTAAAGATGTTTCCACAGTCCATGTCTGTAGTAAGCTGTTGAGTGGGGATTCTCCCACTGTTTCATATTTTCATTCTTTCCCTTCTGTAAAAATCAAAGTGGCCAACAGAATATGAAAACCCATGGGAGTTTTATTTGTCTTTATGTTTCTCTCTTTATACATTAGGAGTGATGCTTATCAAATTTGTTAGTTAAATTGAAGTGATGGGTTGGGCTGCCACCACTAAATACCACAGGACAGTGGATTTAAAAGTAAATGTGTCTCCACACTGTAGTGTGAGAGTCTGAGGTGAGTATTCTCTCCCAGGTCTTCTTGTCTGGTCATCTCCTCTCAACCCTGTCATGGAAGTCACTGCATTTCTGTTTTTTTCTCATGATGAGGACACAGATCTCATCATGGGGCTCCACTCTAATGATTTCTTCTAAAACTAAAGAACTCCTAAAAAAACCATACTCTAGGATTATTACATGAAGGGTAATTATAAAACTGTTGGATTTTAGAGAACACACTTCAATTAATAGATACCACTGTGGAGACAGAGAGGAAAATAATCATGGGACCCATAGCACCTCACCTTTTTATACAGACAGTTCCACATTTTCATTATTTCTTTTTTTAAATACTTAGTCTTTGTGTATATAAGTATTTGTCTGCATGGATATATATGCACCCCGTGTATGCCCTAAGACCTGTGGAGACCAGAAGAGGGCATCATATCCACTAGAACAGGAGTGACAGATGGCTGTGACCTACCATGTGGGTGATGACAACTAAACCTGGATCCTTTGCAAGAGCGACAAGCTCTCTTTTTGCTGAGTCATCCCTCCAGTTCTCTCTGTCTCTCTCTGTGTGTGTTAATATATCTATGTGATGTTATTTAAACTACAGAATAAGCTCAATTGATAAAACTATTCCTATTTTGAATTTACTGTTCTTTGTTCTCCATTCTCTCCCTACAGATCTGTCGTGTTATACTTGCTCACAGGCTATGAATGTTTCAAAAGTGTGTCCGCCAGGGAGCTCTTCATGATCAACAGGGATCTTTTTCTGTGAGTAGCCCCTGCTCCAGAAGCAGACATCAGGGACTAGTGATTAAGATGATTATGTTCATAATTGAACCTAGTATATTATCTCATGAAAAACCAGTATCCTTCCCTACTTTTTTTCTTATTTGTTTAGTTGAAAAGTAAACAAATTATGAAATTTTGTGTTTATAATGTGATATCATGATTTTTGAAGTATTAAAGAGATTACTGATATTAATGAAACCTGGATGGGAAATCAGGAGCAGAGGTGTCTGCTGCTCAGAGAAAGTTTCAAATTTGGGGTGTGATCACCAGGTCTCAGTGCTGTAGACAACTGTAGGAAGGGACTAAAAATCACAGGAAATTAGTGACTCCCATAAAGAAGTTGTCAGGGCTTTCATGGTTAGCACATTGGAGCTGGAGAGGTACAGCTGTGTAGTAATGAGAGTGCCTGGGGATGGAGGGGTGGGAAGAGCCAGATGGCAGCTGTGTAGAAAGAGCTGTTCATCTCCTGTGTTTTTCACACATGGAAGAACCTTTGCCCAGTGGCCTGTGCTTAGGATTCACTGCTCACAAAGATGGCCAAGATTGCCCCAAGTACATGCCAAGGAGATGAGATATCAGAGAGGAATTGAGGGCCTCGCTTAGTTGGTAGAGTAGTTGCTTTGTGTTCGTGAAACCCTGTGTTAGGTACCACATAAACTTGAGCATGGCAGGAAGTCTTGTAATATCAGAAGTAGAGGTAGGTAGGAGAATTTTCATTGTTGGGTACATATAGAGTTTAAGGTAAGTCTGCACTTTATGATCTTGTCTCAAAAAAAAATCGAAATAACAATAACAAAACCAGAGTCACAATGAACTCACTGGGAGGGGAAGAGCTTGGGATTCAGAAGGAATAGGAAGGGACAGGATTAGGTTTGGTATCTGGTAAAGATTTGTGGTTATAAAAGAGTCTGTTGAAGGAATACATCTGTCCTAAAGTGAGAGTAACCTAAGAGAAGGATGTAGTATCCTGAAACTGCACTGTGACCTCAGAGTGACAGTGTCACCTTCTTCGTAACAACTAGAAGGACACAAATCTCCATGACCACTGTCTGAGGTGAGGCACGAATGAGCTTCTCCTCAGGCAGCCAGCTTCAGAGGGGCAGAGACACTGAGGAGAGTGGACTCATCAGACTGTTTCCATGGAGGGGCTTTTGTGTGACTAGAGTGGACAAAAGAGGGAAGAGTTCTCTGATGGAGAGAATCAAAGTGAGAATGTCATAAGGATGATGGCCTAGAGATGCTGTCCCTAAGGAGGGGACCTGGAGCACAGGGGACACTGTCCTGTTAGGCTCCCTGTGATAACAGAAGTCAGTGTAGCCAGCATCTCACCTGTGCCTTCTGGACTTATCTAACAATGTATAACCTGATCTTTGTCTCTGTAGACATGAACATACCAGTGGATACTACAGAGTGTCATCATATTTGTTTGGGAAATTGCTGGCTGAGCTGGTACCCAGGAGGTTATTGCAAAGTATTATATTCACTGTTATAATATTCAGCATAACAGGTAAAAAACAAAATAAGAGAAAGGGTCTTTACTCTTGGGGGAGCATGTTTTGGTTTATCCAACTGTGGCAAGTCTAAAATAGAGAAGCATAAGTATAAACAACATGTCTCCACTGTGTGCCATCTAACACAGGTGTTCATTGTGAGGAAAGTCTCCAAGACTTGTTCACAAAATACTACAAACTACAAATGCTGTTTGTGAAACTGTTTCTACTAGAGATTCTGTGTAGTATAATAACTGAATAAATAACATACAGTTGAGACAGTGCTAATGGAGCTAAATCAATTATTACATATATATTTACATATTGTAAAATATTTTTCCTTTATTTGTGCATTTGCTTGTGTGCATGTGTGTGTGTGTGGTGTGTGTGTGTGTGTGTGCGCGCGCGCGCAGACTAAGCAGATGCAGTGCCTGGGGAGAACAGAAGAGGACATCAGTCCCTTTGAGGTGGAGTTACAGGAGAATGTGAGCCACTGTGTGGGTGCTGAGAATGGAATCCAGAGCCTCTGCAATTACAGAACATACTGTTAATCAGTGAGCTATCTCTCTAGCTCAGCTGCATATTTTCCTCTGTGTGTCTGTGTAAGTGCCTATATACGTAAGATATTAAAAAGTGGATAATATCTCATACATATGTACATGTGTGTAAAATATTTAAATGTGTACCTTGTCTTCCTCTACCATCTTACAAAGAGAGAGGACAGTAAATTTGGGTTTAAAAAAATTATAAAATGTAAGTATAGAATTTCCATAATTTTCACATATTCATAGCTCACACAGACACATGCGCATACATATATACAGACATGAACACACGCATACACACATACATACAGATACATACTCACACAAACACATATAGACATTCACACACACACACTCTCACACAGACATGCACACACACTCACACATGCACACACATAGTTATGCACAAGAAAAAGCGCTGATAAAGTTTAGTATCTGTTTATAACAGATTTATCATTCAGGACCAGTTATTCAGTCCATGAGATGGTTTTGGGAAACATGCTTTTCCTACAAGCCTGACAATCTGAATTTGATCCTCAGAATCCACAGTGGAAGAGAGACTCACTCTAGAAAATTGTTCTCAATTCCACATACACACCATGGCACATACACACCATGGCACATGTATACTTAAACTCACACATGTACTATACACACAATGATACTAATAGTAACAATAACTTTGAAAATAATTAGACATGGAACTCAGCTCCCCCAGACTCTAACTTGTGTCCTTGTGACTATTAAAAAACACAGCACTGTGGATGTCTCATAGCATGAGCTCCAGAAAGATTACAAACCAGCTTCTGGAACACATTGCCTTCCTCCATAGCAGTTACATGGTGATTTCCTAGGGAAATCTAAAGTTGGAGGCACCACCCGGTGCTCTAGACATTAAAACCACTGCAAGGCTGTTTAATCCTTGCATTACTTAAATTTATAGTAATATGATAAACACCATGGGAGGAACCAAGTTGGGGAAGAAAAGGTTTGTTTGATCTTACAGTTCAGTGTACTTCATGAAGGATACTCAGAGCAGGATCTCAGAGCAGGAACCTGGAGGCAGGAAGTGAAGCAGAGGCCATGGAGGATGCTGCTTACTGACTTTCTCCTCATGGCTTCCTCAGCCTGATTTCTTTTTTTCCCTCAATATATGTTTTTATTTAAATTAGAAACGTGAATGTTTCACATGTCAATCCCAGCTCCCTCTCCCACCCCTCTTTCCTTGTCCCTCCACCAGCCCCCCAGCCCCCATCCCAATCCCCACATCATTTCCCAGGGAGGGTGAGACCCTCCTTGGGGGGATCTCTAAAGCCTGTCATTTCATCCTGGGCAGGACCTAGGCCCTTCCCCATGTGTCCAGGCTGAGAGAGCATCCCTCCATGTGGAATGGGCTCCCAAAGTTCATTTTTACACCATGGTTGAACACTAATCTAATACCCAAGGCCCCAGAGATTTCTGAGGCCTCCTTACTGACAATATATTCATGGAGTCTGGATCAGTCCGCTTTTGGCCTCTCAGCAGTCAGTCTAGGGTTCAAGAGCTCCCCCTTGTCCAGTCAGCTGTCTTTGTGGGTTTCACCAGCACGGTCTTGACCCCTTTGATCATCACTCCTCCATCTCTGTCACTGGGTTCCAGGGGTTCATTTCAGTGTTTAGCTGTGGGTATCTGCCTCTGCTTCCATCAGTCTCAGAATGAAGGTTCTAGGATGTCATATAAGGTAGTCATCAACCTTATCATCAGGGAGGGGTTATTAATGTAGTTTCTCTGCTATTGCTTAGTTTGTCAGTTGGTGTTATCCTTGTAGATCTCTGGAGATCTCACTAGTGTCAGCTCTCACCTCAAGCCTATAATGACTCCATCTATTATGGTATCTCTCATCTGCTCTCCTCTATTCTTACCTCAACTCAACCTTCCTGCTCCCTTATCCCTTCTTCTCCCCTCCTCTTATTCCCCTCTCTTGTTCCTGGTTCCCTTTCCCCTCCCCCAGTGTTCCCAATCTGCTCAGGAGATCATTCCTCATTGCACCTCTCTGGGGTATCATGTATCTCTCTTGGGAACTTCCCTGTTTCCCAGACTCACTGGCACTGGGATTGTACTCAGCCTGATTTCTTACAGAACCCAGAACTACTTACCTAGTGATGGCTTCATCTACAGTTGTCTAAGACTTTGCACATGAATCATTCATCAAGAAAATGCTGGCTTGTCTGTGGGCCAATCTAATGGAAGCATTTTCTTAATGAGGTTGGCTTTTCCTATAAGATCCTAGCTTGTGTTATATTGACAAAACTGACCAGTGCAGTTCTAATCCCAATTTTATTTTACTAATGCAATTATGTAAACACAGGGTAACGAGGACAAGAACGTTTTCTATTGGTAATTCTCCAGTGAGAGAAGGCAGCAGAATTTTGGCCAGTTGTGTTGCTTGAAGCTCTCCATGTCAGGATCTTGTAAATTGCTCATAATCATGTATGAAAGAGAATAGGTGCTGGGCATTGTTGGCACACACCTTTAATCCCAGCACTCAGGAGGCAGAGGCAGATGAATCTCTGTGATTTTGAGGCCAGTCTGGTCTACTGAGGACAGGATCCAAAACAATACAGAGAAACCCTGTTTGAAAAAAAACAGAGAGAGAGAGAGAGAGAGAGAGAGAGAGAGAGAGAGAGAGCACTCATCCCTCACATTGCCCACATCATTAGGCAGCTTTCACTGCCTGTAACCTCAGCTCTAGGAGATCTGATGCCTTCTTCTGGCCTCCACAGGAAACTGCATATAGTTGGGATACATTAGCACAGGAACTTTAATTTACACATGAATAAAAATTGAACAAATCTTTAAAAAGAGAAGCTGTATAACAACTCTATGTACTCACATGGAAGGAAGAAATTAAATGGGACCCAGAGCACTAGGCTCTTTGGTGATTTAAATATGTTTTGAACACTGGACTGACACCACCTTTTTTTGTTTAAGGAATAAGAAAAGATGTGAATGGTTTCTTCACTATGATATTTACTGCCATGATGTTGACTTATTCTACCAGTTCCCTGTCACTGTCATTAGGAGCAGGGAAGAATGCAGAAGCTGTCCCAACACACCTCATAATCAACTATATTTTGTTCATGCTGGTGAGTGTTTATCTAAGAGGAACATTTTCCTGGTGATCCTTCTTGCAAATGTACATGTTTGACACATCAGTTCTTGGGACATGAGGTCTTATGCTAAAGCTTATTATGGTCTGTAGGAGAGAAGGAGCAGCCTTTTCTCTCAGGCTTTGTGGCTACTGCTCTGATGTCAGTATTATGATGTGGTTAGCATGCCCTTTCTAGTGAGCTCTTAACAGATATATCAGACTCATCTTAAAAAATCATAATAGTTTGGAACTTCAAGAAGGTGGAATGATTGGCTGATTGCCCCACAACAAGACAGATTACAGCTTTCCTTTCATGCTGGCGTGAGTGACTTGCATGCTATTTTCACCTTAGCAGAGGTGCTATAGTTTGTTCAGTAGTCTCTAATGGGGAAGCAAAGGCCATGAGCAGTGTAAGTGTTCAGCACAAGGAGTCTCATGGCTCACCTTTGTTCTGCAAAGGGTAACTGGAAGAATCCAGACCCCTAAGTACTAACCACTCTCCCGAATTAGCATACTTCTGCTAATCTGTCTGTAATTGGTTACCCAGTCTTACACATAGGTAGAAGTGATGTTGGAGAGGTTCTGGGACCATTGGGAGGTAGGGACTTGATGGGGAAAGTGTGTGCCTGGGTGGAGGGAGGAGCTTTAGTTGTTTATAGTCTTGTCCTCCTTCCTCTTCCCTCTATGCTATGCACTATGAAGATGTGAGCATTCAGCCTCCTCTCCTACTTCCTTGCCTGCTGCCTGCTGCCTGCTGCCTGCTGTCTGCTGCCTGCTGCCTGCTGCCATGCTTCCCTGTCAAGATGGCTCTTCTCACACTGGAAACCTAAGACAAAGGAACTCTCTGTTCTACAAGTTGCCTTGATCATGGTGTTGTATCACAGCAACAGGAAAGTAACTGCTGCATTTCTGATCTCTCTCACCACTGTCGCCTCCCTGTCTCTTTCTTTGTTTTCCTTTTTGTAAACCCTTGGGTCTACTTAGCCATGCCCATGTGTGTCTGTGTGTAAGACCATCTACTGGAGCAAGGAGAGGCTCTCATGGGCCACATCCTTAAAGAAAATGGGCTCTCCCACTCCCAGAAACCATCAACTCCCAATAGTTCCTCAGCTAGGGGTAGGACTTCATGTCACCTCTCCCTTCCATGCAGGGATTTTCTCTGGCTTGATCTTGTACAGGTGTTGCCCAAGTTGTCACAACTAACCTCTCTGCATTCAAATGTGTCACTGTCCAGTTGTGACAGGAAAACACTGTCTTGTAGTAGTTGTCCACTGCCTCTGGTTCTTACAGTTTCTCTAGCCTCACTTTCTTGATTCTTGGTCCTTGGGAAGAGTGGTGTGATATACAGATCTTCTGTAGTATCTTGTCTCTATGTAGACCTGTGGTGTGGTGGACCTGTGTTAATCAACATGTTCTGCAAAAGAAAGCCTCTGTGATGAAAGTCTGAGATGGACTCATCTATGGGTGTCACAACACCTCATTAGACATCCGTTTAATACCATATCCATTTAGAAGACTAACAGTCAGTAAATTCTTCTCTAGGACCTATGAGCCTACTAGCCACAGCATAAGACATGCTTCTATCTTGTAGAGCAGGGCCTAAATACAACCAGAAAATGAATGGTCTGTCACTGCTGTCGCAGTTAGTCTGTTCAGTATCCCCCATGTACTTCCTCCCCACAAGGAAAAGAAAAGCAGAAATCAGTCAGGTGGGGTGGTCACTGTCCTTGAGCATACTTACAACTTCACCCCACATTTCCCGGAACCACTCTTCCATATTTCAACATTTCTAGCTCACTGGCCATAGTGACAGCTTCCTATCAAGATGCAAGTCACCACACACAGGAGACAAAGAAAGACTGATGGAGATTTCTGTCCCCATCGTATTCAGGATTGGACTCAGAGTTCTCTGCCAAGTTGGCTGGCCTGGATTGTAGACTAGTTTCTGTAGAGGAAGTCTTGGAATTCCAGTTCTTAGAACTAAAATTCTGTAACATCATTGGGTGCTCCTGTTAGGGTATGATGATGGTGTTTTCACCTCTCTTGTTCCTGGTGTGCTTTATTCTCATGACATGGGACTGTAGACAAACGTGGCACTTGTTGACCATTCAATCTGTAGGAGATTGGCTCTATTGTCATTCAAGATCAAGGCCCAGGAACCATTTCAAGGAGCTCTACCCATTGTTGGTTGTAGTCATCCTTTCTAGGGGGAGAATATATGACTGGATATTTCAAAAGGAGTATACGTGACATTATGAAATAAACTGCCTTCTGGAAGTCTCCTGATGATATCCTGTGAAATGGAATGGCATTTTTCTGGGGTGGGCTCTCCCTAATCCTGTCACTCCTTTTGCACTTTGCTTTACCTATCTGCTTTTGCTGTGGGGAGTTCTTTGCCTCCACATTTCATATGCTTCCACAACAAATACAATCTTTACTTAAAATAAATAAGTAAAAAACACACATTTCTCAATTAAATGTATTGAATACATATAAATTTTAAGGGAAGAAGCAAAAACAGAAAAATGGTTGATATTTAAGTGCAGATTGACTATCTAGACAAAATAAATGAAAAACTATAAAGCTTCTAGTTTCTATGACTAATATCCATGTGGTTGGAATATCATCACTATAGAAGTTATTTTGTTATATTTGCATATGTCATACTTTATTAGTAATTTACACAATTGCCAAAATAATGTCTTGTTAATATTCTTTCAATAATGAAGTTGGGCAATATAACCGATGTTTAAAAAGTTTAAAATGTGTAGGTTGAACCATTTGGGTGGTAAGAAAATGCTCTAGTGAATTATCCCTTTTCCTGAAATTTGGAGGACCAAAATAATAATAATAATAATAACAATAATAACAATAATAATATCAATAATAATAATTCATAGAGTCTTAGCAGTGATTTTTTTCTTTTTCTTTTTTTAAAGATCCAATCTTGTTTCCAAAAAAGATGTGTGCCAGGGCCTTATAAACACTTGCCATCTTTAAATGGTTACTAAACAAAGCCAGTCCGTGGCTTCCCAGCTAGGCTGTGGACTCCACTGACTGCCAGGACTTCAAATGAAGTCCCTGATTACAATTCATCCTCAGAGCTTTGCCCACTGTCAGGCAGAAGCCTACAGAGCCCTTTATTGACTGTGTTAATTGTCTACAGGAATCTATAAATGATCAAAAAAGGAGCTGCTATCACCTATTTCTTTCATTATTAAAATAAATAATCAATTAATAAATCCAGATTCAATTTATACAGCTCCTCTTGCTCTGGGTGATATGATAAAAGCATGTTAATATGTGGACACCAATAAAACAAAATCCTCAAATTCTAGCAAAGTCCTTATGGCCTCTAACATGTTTCAAATGCTTCTTATTGAGGTAATTATAAACTAACAAACAGATTTCAACAGCAACAGCAGAAATTCTAAACTAGCATATTATTACTGTTATTGATTTAAAAGATTTCTCTTTACTATTCTTCTGTACCCTGATGATAAAGACTTGATTTTCTTTCGATACTTACTTTCAATATTTAAACAACCATGTCCCATAGATGTTTTAAAAAGTAAGTTTTTTTTAAAGTCATAAGAATGTAAAAGTAAGGCTGTGCCTTTATTCCCAGCACTCAGGAGGCAGAGGCAGGCAGATCTCTGTGAGTTCAAGGCCAGCCTGCTCTATACGTAGTGAGTTCCAGGACAGCTAGGGCTACATAGAGAAACCCTTTCTCAAAAACAAAAACAAAACAAACAAACAAAAACCAAAAAGGCAAAGAAAGGGGGTAAAGACAGATATTTTTAAATAAAGAATGTTTATGTGTAGAGATGAAGGTGGCTAGATTTTTCCAGAATGGAAAGAAAAACTAGAATTTTTATACAAGTTTTAAGGGTACAAGCAAGTTATTTGTGAAATATAAAAGGTAGAATGTAAAAGATACATGATATTACAATTTACAAATCAAAGGTCAATACACTGATGTCAAATCTCTACTTAAATCAATAGAGTTCTCAGGAGCTATTGACCAGTTCATGGTCACAGTTATAAATACTGGCTTCTAAAGCTTTATACAACCCATTTCAGTTATCACAGATTCAAAACAAAAGAACATGTAATTAAGATAGTTAATGGTGTTTTTGCTGATAATGTTAGACTTAAATCCTTGAAAAACAAAATCAATGTTTATTTAAAATTGTTTGGTTCTTTTGTCTGAGCTTTGCCTAAATGTTGCACAGAGTTAAGGTTACAAGGCCGGTAAAGCTCTCCAGTATTTTCAACAGAGCTTGAAAGCCTACAGCAAAGAGGACAAGGATAGTTAAAGAGGCTAGACAGGATTTTGGTCATTGTCTTTCTAGGTCAGACAGGATAGAGGACAATGAGACCCCTCTAGCGAATTCTCCATCTTCTTGATCAGAGAGGCAATGAGTAGTGAGAGAGTAAATTCTAACCAGCCTGCCTTAAAAAACAAAAACAAAACATGGGGACCTCAGGTTATGTGTGATACAAAACAGAAGTTATAATTGTGTGGGAGTTGTGCTGGTTAGTTTATTGTCAACTTGACCTAAGCCAGTCATATTGAAGATGGAACCTCTTCAGGAGGTGGTGATGTATGCCTGGGGCTAGCATGGTATGTAGTGTGAGTTCCAGGACAGCCAGGGATATAGAGAGAAACCCTGTCTCAAAAAGGGGGTGGTGAGGCTTCAGATTCACTTGTATGCAAGTCTGGGGCCAGCATGGGCTCTTGCTTAATGATTGATGTGGGAGGTCCCAGCGCACTGTGGGCAGGACAACTCAGGGAAGGCCATCCTGGCTGAGGAAGCCATGTGGAACAAGCCAGTAAGCTACTTTCCTCCATGGTCTCTGCTTTAGCTCCTGCCTCCAGGCTCCTCCCTTGAGTTTCCATCTTGAATTCTTTTAATGATACAGACTGTGGTCAGGATGGGAAAGTCAAATAAGCCTTTTCTTTTCTTCCCCATAGTTTTGGTCATGGTGTCTTTATCATATCAATAGAAGCAAAACTTAACTAGAGGCTAATCAGGTGTGTGCTAAACAGATGTGTGTGTTAAAGATAAGTAACTTGCCAAAAGAGAAAAAGAGAGTCAAAATAATTAAAAACCCACATGGGAGATTTGAACTGAAGCCCTTTGAACTTTAATATACACTGGTAGGAATATACCACCTCCTCAGATGGACAGATGCCTCCTCCTCTCCCTCTGCTGATGCTAGTATGATGAAGACTGTCTTAGAGTAACTCTCAACTAAATAGATTTCTTTAAGATTAAAGTCACTCTCAGAAGGGCTGGGGGCCCCTCTCCACATGAATGTTACATGTCTCCTATCGTAGGGAGTCCACAGGCCTTCCCACCAGGGAAACTAATATCAGTTTCTCATCCATTGTGTTGTGGATCTCTCCTCTACTTTGCTTCCTCTTCGGTTACAAAGTTTTCACCCAGACGGCTCTCCTAAAATTTCCAGCTCTTGGCTTCCTGCTTGGAGGCTACATTCTCCTAAAAAGCGGAAAAACAAAACAAAACAGAAAACAAATTGAAACAGCCCTGGCAAGCCCCTTTCCTGTGATGTTAACTGAGATCACAGTTCAGGAGGTCGAAGAGGTGGGGCATGTTACACCCAAGAGAAAGTCAAAAGGAGCTGGGCAATCTCAACACAAGGAAAACGTTCAAAATTTAAAAAATCCTGTGTATTTTATTTATTTGTTTATTTGGTTCCTCAAGATAGGGTTTCTCTGTGTAGCTTTGGAGCCTGTACTGAAGCTCACTCTGTAGACCAGGCTGGCCTCAAAATTAGAAATCCCACTGCCTCTGCCTCCCAAGTACTGGGATTAAACCAGGCACCATCACCACCTGGATTACTAGTTTTTAAATGGTAATAAAAACTTGTTAATGTAACTAAAACATCTTTTCTACTAACAGTTCAATTTGATGAGTGTCTAGTCTTACCCTTACTTAAAACAACAACAGCGACAACAACAAAAAAACAGTAATCAGAAATCTTTGTTAGATTAACAAGAGCATGTGTCCCAATTTGGCCCCTTTGGATCATCCAGGCAGCCCTTAAAATTCTCAAAAGGAACCTAACAATACCTGATTCCCTAAAGGTCATAGTTTTGGTAGAGTTCACTTTGTTTTTACTTTCGATAAATGTGCTTATAAAACTGAAGTCAAGATTGAATACTTGGGTAAACTGAGTTAACTGTACAGCGTGTGCCCAAGGAGAGCTTGCTACTCCTGTGCAGCAGGACATCCCCAGACCCAAGTATCCTTTTACTTTGAGTGGGACCCTGTCCTACCAGAGCAAATAGCATGATGTTGACTTTGCTTTCTTATCTCCTCATGTAAGTGATTTCTCCCTCAATAAAATATCATAGGAGGTCCCTATTTTGTGTAGCTTAATATTTCTGCATTAGAGGAGATGACTCATTCTTCATACAACAGGGGGATGGGTTCTTTCACCAGTGGTGGTGATACCCTCAATGGTTGATGGTATCTCCAGCAGTTACATTGTTCAGAATTGTTTTGCTAATCAGGGTCTTCTGTATTACCATACAAAATTTAATATTGTTTTTTTAATTTATGTGAATTGTATTATAATTTTGATGGGGACTTACTGAATCTGTTGATTGCTTTTTATAGGATGGATATTTTCATTTTTATCTTACAATGTATAAGCATGGGAAGTCTGTCTATCATTTAGTATCTTCAATTTTTTTCAGTGTCTTGAAGTTTTTATTGTACAATTATTTCATTTGGTCAGATTTATTCCAAGATTCCCCCCTCCCAATTTTTTAAAACTTTTGTGAATGATATTTGTTTCTCTCATTTCTTTTATGTTATGTTTATAATTTGTACTTGGAAAAGTTCCTGATTTCTCTGTGTTTTTCATGGTATTTTACCACGGACACAGGAAAGGAACTAGGAAAACAGGTTATTGACTAAAGTTTCTAAATGGAACTTTAAAACTACTTATGAAGCCAAGTGATGTATTTCCTTTATAAGCAATTGGTCAGGTGCAATCTGAATGCATGCACAGTCACAGTTTTACATATTCTAGTGTACTTAGGAGTAGATAGGACAAATTTATTGTGAACTCCAGAGTTGTTCCTTGTTCATCATTCAAAGTATCTACATAAATTAGATATTATAAAGAATCTAAAGAGGATTTCAAATATGTAGGATGGGTGTATCTAAAGTTTACAGGCTGTGCATAGATTACATGCCCTTTAAAAGACAAACGACTTAAGCATCTGAGGGCTTGGTTCCTACAGACTGGGGTGGTCAGTCCTCCTTTTAAAACCCACAAACACCCTTGACTTTGCAGAGTGAAGAATTCTGTTTCTGTTTAGAGTTAACTGAAAGAATGATTTAAAGAGCTGGTCTGAGCAGACATGGTCAGAAGGATGAAGGTGGCTTGAAGAGGAGGATCTTGTCTAGAATTCTTAGTCACTGGACTGGTTCTAATTCTGTTCTTTGTAGTTTACCTCAGGTTTATCACTATATCACATAAACTTCATGTACGACCTGTCATGGATTCAGTACTTCAGCATTCCTCATTATGGATTTTCAGTAAGTTGTCCTGTCTGTCACTGTATTTGGGTTCTCCAACTATAGTGACTGAAATGATTCCCAGCCAAGTCCTTTCCCCAGCTGTAATCTCTAACCAGTTCCTGCCCAGGATTTTGCTTCCAGTAGCTAAAGATGAGAACTTTCCTGTTGGTTTCACCAAAGGCCAGTGAGTCATCTTGGGTTTTCCCCAGCCATGTGTTATATGAGGGAAATAAATGGTGAGAAAAATCCCAGGGAAAAGGTAGATGACATTATGAAAAGCACACAGTTGTGATTCTACTCAATTAAAAAAATAATGGACAGATCAGGGACTGTGATACATAGTTTACATCAGGAAACGAAAAGAAATGGAAACCATGTGATGTCCACAGTCATATTGACTTTGCCAAGCTTTCTCAGCAGTAAAGTGTGTCTTAACAAACTTTTTTACTCCCATAATCACAACTGCTTTTGATGAAAACAAGAAATATTGTTACTATGAATCAACAGTATTTTTTCAATTACTGTGTTTACATGGTTATGGACAGGGCAGAGAAGGAGGTACCTGAGGTAATCTAGAGTCCTCCTCTTAGTAATTGGGAAGATCCTTCATTCCCATCCTAAGCCTCCTGAGTGGGGGACGGTCACTGCTTTGCTGGGCAGACTGAACTTGGGGTTTTGTTTGTTTAAAAATGTTTTTGTAAACTACAGTCAAAATTGAATTTGAAGTTATAGCTGTGTTTATTCTTTGGAAACTTATAAGAATATTAAACTACATGTCTTTCCCTGTTTTTGTTTGTGTTACAGGCTTTGCAGCACAATGAATTCTTGGGACAAAACTTCTGTCCAGAACACAAGACAGCAGAAATCAGTAGATGTCAGGGCTATGTAATGTAAGCTTGAGTCCAGAATCACAATGGGGACATAGAATGCTCCTAGACTTAGAGGGGAAACCCATCCATTCATGATTAACACTCTGTCCCCTGCCCATTCCCCACAGTGAGTCATTGTAACCAATGCACATGTAGCTGTGTTTCCATCCTACTGCTCTATGGTGTAGACAATGTGCAGAAAGGGTTCTTTGGGCCTTGAAAAAATGGCTTTGGTGTCTTGATTGTGGGTTTGAGTTCCTTGTTTCAGAACATTTGAGTCTGACATAGGCTGCTCTGTAGTTCACAGGGCACACAGTTTGCACATGGGTAGATTATGGTTCTTGTGAGCAGAGCCCAAGAATGTCAGGGCAGCAAGGGCAGCAAGGGCTGAGCTGTGCCTGCCAGACTCCAGGGCCATCCCTCTGCCTCACTTTCTGTAAGACTTCAAGAAAGCAAAGACCAGTGTGTGTGTGTGTGTGTGTGTGTGTGTGTGTGTGTATGTGTAAAATGTTCTACCACAGGATATGTCCTGAAGTGAAAGTAGCACATATTTCAGTATTTTGAGAAGGAAATATTTTTGTCTAATACCATTAAAATAGAAACAGTTTTTAATAAAATTTAAGTGTATTGTTTTAAAGTTACAATACCTCCTCTTAGTATTTATGTATCTTTGGAGTTCTCACAAGATATACCCTCAGTTGCTGACACTAAGAGCACTACCTCTGCCTATCTAATATATTCCCCTTAAAAATGGTCCTGCACACATCCTATCTGTCTCTCTCTGCCTCTCTCCGTGAGTGTGTCTCTGTCTCTGTCTGTCTCTCTGTCTCTCTTTCTCTCCCCTGCCTCAGTTTCCTCCTTCCCACTGCTTCTGTCCCTGCAGACCAGTCTTCCCCAACTCCCTCTTTTCTCTTTTTTTTCTTTTTTCTTTTCCATTTTAAATTTAGATAAGAAACAAGGTTGCTTCACAAGTCAGTTCCAGGTCCCTCTCCCTTTCCCTCCCCTCCTCCCGCGCCCTCCCCCCATCCCCCCCCCGTTATCCCCTCATTACCCCAGGGAGGGTGAGGCCCTCCATGGGGGTGTCCATAGTCTGTCATTTCATATAGGGCAGGGCCTAGACCCTTCCCCAAGAGTTCAGGGTGAGAGTGCACCTCACATTGTTCTATGGGAGTCCAAAGTCCGTGTGTATACTTGGGATGGGTACTGATCTGCTGCCCAAGGCTCAATAGATTCCCTAGGCCTCCTCACTGACACCCAGATTCAGGGGGGTCTTGATCAGTCCCATGCTGGATTCCCAGGCTGATGCCTGGGATTCAAGAGTTAACCTTTGTCTGGTCAGCTGTTTCTGGGGGTTCAACCAGCCCAGTCTTAATCCCTTTGATCATCAGTCCTCCCTCTCTGATACTGGCTTTCTTGAGTTCGGCTCAGTACTTAACCAGCCACTAAATGAAGTTTCTGTTTCCCAGACTCTCTGGCCACAGGATTGTAGGCTGGCACTCCCCAGATCTATGTCTAAAATCCATATATGAGAGAGTACATGCCATGTTTCTCTTTTTGTGACTGGGTTACCTCACTCAGGATGGTTTCTTCTAGTGTCATCCATTTGCCTGCGAATCTCATGATTCCATTATTTTTTTCTGCTGAATAGTACTCCATTGTGTAGATGTACCGCATTTTCTCTATCCACTCTTTGGTTGAGGGACATCTAGGTTGCTTCTAAGTTCTGGCTATTACAAATAAAGCTGCTATGAACATAGTGGAACAGATATCTTTGTTGTATGAATGGGCATCTTTTGGATATATGCCTAAGAGTGGAGTTGCTGGGTCTTGTGGTAGGTTTATTCCCATTTTTCTGAGGAATCTCCATACTGCTTTCCAAAGTGGCTGAACCAGTTGGCACTCCCACCAGCAATGGAGGAGTGTCCCCCTTTCACCACATCCTCTCCAGCATAAATTGTCATTGTTGTTTTTGATTTTAGCCATTCTGACAGGAGTGAGATGGTATCTCAGAGTTGTTTTGATTTGCATTTCCTGGATGGCTAAGGATGTTGAGCACTTTCTCAAGTGCCTCTCAGCCATTTCAGACTCCTCTATTGAAAACTCTCTATTTAGTTCTGCAGCCCACTTTTTAATTGGGTCCTTTGCTGTTTTGGAGACTTGCTTCTTGAGTTCTTTGTAAATTTTGGAGATCAACCCTCTGTCAGATGTGGGATTAGTGAATTTTTTTCCCATTCTGTGGGCTGCCTTTTTGTCTTGCTGACTGTGTCCTTTGCCTTACAGAAGCTTCTCAGTTTCAGTAGGTCCCATTTATTAATTGTTGATCTCACTGTCTGTGCTACTGGTGTTATGTTCAGGAAGCTGTCTCCTGTACCAATTCGTTCAAGGGTACCACCCACTTTCTCTTCTAAGAGGTTCAGTGTGGCTGGATTTATGTTGAGGTCTTTGATCCATTTGGACTTAAGTTTTGTGCATGGCGATAAACATGGATCGATCCACATTCTTCTACATGCCAGTCTCCAATTATGCCAGCACCATTTGTTGAAGACGCTTTCTTTATTCCATTGTATATTTTTAGCTTCTTTGTCAAAGATCAGATGTTCGTACGTGTGTGGGTTAATACCCGGATTTTCAATTCGATTCCATTGGTCTACCTGTCTATTTTTGTGCCAATACCAAGCTGTTTTCAGGACTATAGCTCTATAATAGAGCTTGAGGTCAGGGATGGTGATGCCTCCGGATATTGCCTTGTTGAACAGGGTTGTTTTGGCTATCCTGGGTCTTTTGTTTTTCCATACAAAATTGATTATTGTTCTTTCAAGGTCTGTGAAGAATTGTGCTGGGATTTTAATGGGGATTGCATTGAATCTGTAGATTGCTTTTTGCAGGATTGTCATTTTTTTATCATTTTTTATTTTAATTTTAAATAGCTTGTTTTACATGTCAATCCCAATTCCCTCTCTCTCCCCTCCTCCCGCACTCCCCTTCCCCCCTCCCTCCCACCCTATTGCCAAATCCTTCCACATAGGGGATATCTAGAGTCTGTCATTTTACTCTTGGTAGGGTCAAGGCACTCCCCTAAGAGTCCTGCTGAGAGAGCATCTCTCTTTGTGCTATAGGCACATGAAGACAGTTTGTATACCAGGGATAGACACTGATCCACAGCTCAGGGCCCCATAGGTTGCCCAGGCCTTCTCACTGACACTCACATTTGGGGGGTCCAGATCAGTCCCATGCTGGCCTCCCCACTGTCGGTCTGGGGTCCAAGAGCACTCCCCTGTTCAGATCAGCTGTCTCTGCTGGTTTTGCCAGCCCATTCTTTGCCAATTTGCTCATCACTCCTCTCTCTTTGTCACTGGGTTCCTTGGGTTCAGTTCAGTGATTAATTGTGTGTTTGTCTCTGCTTCCATCAGTCACAGGATGAAGGCTCCCGGATGGTTATAGACATCAAGTTCATTATCAGGAATGGGCATTCGAGGTAGTCCTTCCACTATTGCTTAGCTTGCCAATTGGTGTTATACCTTTAGATCACTAGAGGTCACTCTGGTGCCTGATCTGTCTTCGATCCTATGATTCCCTCTTCCCCCTATTCTACCCCCACCCACTCAACTTCCTGTTCCCCCATGACTAACTCCCTTCCTCTTTACCCCCTCTATTCTTCCCAGTTCCTACTCCCCCCCACCCCTGGCCGTGTTCCCCATCCATTCAGAGGATCTTGTCTCCATCCTCTTCTCTTGGATACTATGCATATATGCATATATTTTAGGTTCTTTCCTGTTTCCCAGATTCTCTATCTGTGGAAGTGCAGACTGGCACTATACTGATTCATATCTAAAATCCATATATGAGTGAGTACATACCATGTTTGTCTTTTTGCGACTGGGTTACCTCACTCAGGATGGTTTCTTCCAGTGCTATCCATTTCCCTGCGAATTTCAAGATTCCATTGTTTTTTTCTGCTGAGTAATACTCCATTGTGTAAATGTACCACATTTTCTCTATCCACTCTTCAGTTGAGGGGCATCTAGGTTGCTTCCAGGTTCTGGCTATTACAAACAATGCTGCTATGAACATGGTGGAGCAGATGCCCTTGTATGAACCTGCCTCATTTGGATAAATGCCTAAGAGTGGAATTGCTGGGTCTAGTGGTAGATTAATTCCCATTTTCCTGAGGAATCTCCATACTGATTTCCAAATAGGCTGTATGAGTCGGCATTCCCACCAGCAGTGGAGGAGTGTTCCTCTCTCTCTACATCCTCTCCAGCATAAATTGTCTTCGGTGTTTTTGATTCTAGCCATTCTGACAGGAGTAAGATGGTATCTCAGAGTTGTTTTGATTTGCATTTCCCTGATGGCTAAGGATGTTGAGCACTTTCTTAAGTGTCTCTTGGCCATTTTAGCCTCCTCTACTGAGAATTCTCTATTTAGCTCTGTACCCCACCTTTCAAGTGGATCCTTTGGTGTTTTGGAGACTTGTTTCTTTAGTTCTTTGTAAATTTTGGAGATTAGCCCTCTGTCAGATGTAGGGTTAGTGAATATCTTTTCCCATTCTGTGGCCTGCCTTTTTGTCTTTTTGACTGTGTCCTTTGCCTTACAGAAGCTTTTTAGTTTCAGAAGGTCCCATTTGTTAATTGTCGATCTCAGTGCCTGTGCCACTGGTGTTATGTTTAGGAAGTGGTCTCCTGTACCAACTCGTTGAAGAGTATCTCCCACTTTCTCTTCTAAAAGTTTCAGTGTGGCTGGATGTATGTTGAGATCTTTGATCCATTTGGACTTAAGTTTTGTACAAGGCGATAAACATGGATCTATCTGCAGTCTTCTGCATACCAGTACCCAGTTATGCCAGCACCATTTGTTGAAGATGCTTTCTTTTTTCCACTGTACAGTTTTAGCTTCTTTGTCAAAAATCAAGTGTTCATAGGTGTGTGGGTTAAAATTAGGGCTTTTGATTCGGTTCCATTGGTCTACCTGCCTATTTTGTGCCAATACCAAGCTGTTTTCAGGACTATAGCTCTATAATAGAG